TACTAGCGTTGAGTCTTCCAGGTGTGAAGGCAAAGGCACGATATAAGATTGAGATAGCATGGAAAATTATATTCAATGTATTGTAGTCACTTAGAAGTCCTACTAATTGTYAGGTTTGGCTAGCCTCAAAAGCTCAGCCATTTTTAGTAGAATGCTCAGGTAATGTGCCTAAGGAGAGGATATATGCAAGGTTCAAAGTATCGGAAAGGCAATTTTAAGATACGTATCGGGATATGCTTTGGATGCGCATGTGTATCAGAGAAAAACTAAGATATGCATAGATACACTTGGAAACACTATAAATACTTTAATAAATCATAAAAATACATCAACAATACTAAATATAAGACCTCAATGCGGTGTGTATACATTAAATTAATATATTTTAATGGTTTTATGAAAAAATATTATAGCTAATTATAATTTCATTAAAAATCCTATGCTTAACTATAATTTATAAATTATAATTCTTAAGTTTTAATGTTTTATGGAATGAGAAAAACCCAACTCTCCAATCTAACCATATAATATGCATTGGCACAACTTCTATGTGAAAATCTAATTAATAAATATTTATTGTTTAAATAATTATTATTCATTATTCATTTCCAAAAATTATAAAAAATAAATAAAAATTATATAATATATTCAAAAAATATTTATTAAAGAAGAAATTTCAATTGTGGATATGATAGATCATCCATAGAATTATAATATATTCAATCATTGTGATCAAATGAAAAACTATAATTAATTAATTATTATTTTTTAATTCTAAAAAAATAAAATAATAATTATTAAAGAAGAAATTTTAATTGGTTTATGGATATGATAGATCATCCATAGAATTTTAATATATTCAATTGTTATGATTATTATGATCAAATGATAAAATATAATTAATTATTATTTTTTAATTCTAAAAATATAAAAAATATAAAAAGAAATATTAAAGAAGAAATTTCAATTGCTCTATGGATATTATAGACAAATCCATAGATATAAAGCATATTTAGTCTTTATAGGCAAAGAAAAATCTTACATTTTCAAATTTTTTGTTAATTTATATTTTCCCCAAATATCTTCATGAAATTTCCATAAATCTACTAATAGTACAAAAAATTATGATTTTGAATGTAAGAAATGTAGATCAACATAAACGTAAACATTCAAGAAAAAAAAAAGAAATTACAAGATGTTATAAAAGATTGAAAAAAATTACCTATTTTTGCCATATTTTTTCAAAATTTGAAAAATCTTTAAAAAATTAACGATTCACACTTGTTTCTTGTAAAATTTTGCAAATCTAGCACTCTAAGAATGAAGTTTGGAGTTCTAGAGTCATTTGGGGGGGGGGGGGTGTGAAAGAATGCTTGTTTCGGGGAAAAAAAGCTTGCTTTCCCCCTAATTTTTTTAGTTTTTGGTCGTATCTTTTTCGTCGATACGCTATCGATACCCCCCGATACACCCTTAGTATGCCCCTGATACGCATGAAAAAAGACAAAACGTCTGATTTTCATACATATCCTGTATCGGTTTTTAAAAGATACGATACGATTGTCCCATATCAGATGTATCGTATCAAAATTTTAAATCTTGAATATATGAATAAGGTTAGATTAACCTCTATAAAATCTCATGTGTATTATGTTATTCTTGTTCTTTATTTTTCTTCATACAATCATGCTTTAATCGGTTCTTTGCGATGTTACTTCTCCACTTCAATGGATTCGCATTCAAAATTTCAGAAAATGACAGCAATTGGCATAAGCAATGTAAGAGAACCAAATTCACTCTCCCCCTGGCAATACCCCTAACCCTTTTTACCTCCTTCAACTTGTATCTTCTTAGAAGTGCTATAAGTGGTCTTTTGTGCATGTGATCCAACCACCTTAGTGTATTTTCTCTCATTTTATCACCTATTGGAGCTATTCTTATGTTTCTTTCAATGACTTCATTTTTAACTCTATCATTTTTGGTTTTTTTACTCATCTACTCCGCATATACATATTTACTACATTCATTTTTTGGATATGTTTCTTAATTTCCCAACACCTTGCTCCATACAACATCGGTCTTATAACTATTTTACAAAATTTTCTTTTTGATCTAAATAGTTTTCGTGTCATGAATTAAAGATATATACAAAAAATGTTACATTATCTGGTAATCTCCAATTTTAAGTATACCTTAATTTACATTTCTATTGTTAAACTTAGCAATATTCTTATTTAATCCTATATTTGACTATGATGCTGGAAAGACATATACCGAAAAAATTATAACCAATCAACCACCATTATAAAAGTGCTAATTAATTAAGTGGGTTTTAACCAAAATTCACCACGGTTTGATTGGTCAAATCCCTTTTAGTATCATGTTTTTTTCACATCATAGATTTTTCTTTTGTTTTAAAACCTTTTATTCTAACCATGGTTTTTAAAACCGATCGAGAGACCGAACTGGTTAGGGGTCTGGTTATCGGGTCGAACGGTCGGCCTGTTCTGACAAAAAAATAAAAAAAATTAAAAAAAAATAGAAAATTTGAAAAATGGTCAAAACCGTTCGTACGGTTAACCAACCGGTTCAACGATTTGCTGACCAAAATCAACGGTTTTGGGGAAAACAAAACCGATCAAATGACTGATTCCTAGTTTTTCCAGTCTGACCATCCGGTCCGATTCTGTTTTGAAAACCATGATTCTAACATATTTCACCCATAAACTTAACTTTGCATTTTAAAATCAATTAAAAGATATTCTTTTGTTGATTAAAAGAGAGAGGTATTTCGGTAAATATAAGAAGTCCTAACCCTTTCTGCGTAGCAAAAACAAAAAAAGTTTCTAAAAGTGGGGCCGAACCGGCTGGTGGCAAATAACAAAACCAATTTAGCGCGTGAGGGTAATTTCGTAATTGAACCTCAAGCAAGCGAGGTGCAAACCGTGCAATCGTCAGGGTCAGCCTCTAGCTGACGTATTTGCTCGCTTTACACATAACACATTCCTTTGTTTACGGAGATATCTTATAGCTTGGAAAGTCAAAATTAGAGGGGGTAGCCCATCCCCTTTCCCTTGACCCCTTTTGTAAAAGCGAATATGACGAGGGGTAATTTCGTCACAAAATGAGGTCGTTTATATACACGTTCCAATGTTTTTTTTGTAATATATAGACGTTAGTTTTGACGCTTAAGATGTAGTAGGCTRACTGGTATCCGTTACATTTAAAACTTCAAATAGAAATTGATTAGTCGTTGCATAGTTACGTGGTAATGTTAAAAGCCCCGCCAAACGCAGCCTTACTATTTCATCCACTTTTAGGGGCTTTTTCGTCAATAAGGAAAATGACTGCAAAGCCCATTTTTGTTTCTAAATTTGGAAGCTTCAGGGGTAATTTCGTTCTTAAGAATCTTCCTGCATAAAAAGAAGAAGAAACGCCTCCTTTTAGCTGCCCGGTCAAACTCGACGATTTGACTTCGAGAATAACGTTTGGAGTTCTCTTTAGATGGGTATTATTACGCGTGGAAGTGGTGGCTCCTTTTCCGTTCTTAAAAAGAATCCACTAGAAGCCGCCTCATGTGAAGGGCATCCGCCACTGGATTGGAATAAATGTATCACTAATATAAATAGATTTGGTCAGAGATCATTGCATCGGATCAGATGTGACGAGACTTGGATTGCAGCCCAAGCTAGCTCTGGGCCTCGGCCCTCCCTAGAGCTGGATTAGCTGGTCCGAAGTTGGATGGTAGAAACTAGAAAGCTTCCGGTTCGGGTCAATGGTTTGGTTCTTGAAGTTAGGTTGAACCTGAACTCAACCCAACAATTTGGACCGGTCCAAGATGTAAAGTTGTGACAGTGTCATGGAAGAAAGAAAATTCTTAGGCCCAAAAGTCAACATAAAAGGATATGATTTCATTTCACAGAAGGAGTTTACTGCCTCATCTGATCTGAAATCAATCGACAAAGAAAGTGTCTGAATTGGACCGGGCCACAGACATGTGAAAGCAGTTGGGTCAAATTTTAAGGTTCTGTTTGCAGGGACGGTTCAGTTGTGGGACAACCATTAACGTCACTTGTGACTTGTGGTCTTCTGCAACACTTGCACCAGCAGAAAGGACGACTCTTTCCCATTCAGTCGGCCATATTTTTTGACTTTAGGACTTCATATTGACCAACTCGTTCACATTTTAGGACCAGATAAGTGGTGCAGCATGGATGCATAAAGGTTGGTTCTTGGAACATTCTCAGTAAACCAGTTGAATAGCCCAAGTTTTTGGACCATATGTTACTTACCCAGATGAACCAGGAACCTTGCATCCATTTGCTCAACTATCTCTGTCGGGTGTGTTATTAGGTAAACATGGTTTGAATGTCTGGTCAGACCTGCTTAACCCAGATTAACCCCTTTTGGGGTGTATCATCAAAAACCAAAACACCGAATCGAACCAAAAAATCCGACTAACCTATCGATTCAGTTCGACTTCGGTTCCGAATATTGCAAAAAACCAAAGGACTGGTTCAGTTTCAAAAACATGCCCAGCTGAGCACCTCTAGTTGGAACATGGTTCTAGTTCAAATTGATTGGGCACAGGTGAGAACTGAGAGGATCAATCTCTGTTAGGATTAAGACATGGAAAATTAGAAGAAAGGCTATTTTCTAATATTACTACTCTATGAAAAACCTTCATTTTCCAGTCATTTTATGTACAACAGATTAGTGTAAAATAACATTTCTGGAAATCATTCGTTTTCCTTCATTTTGCTTGCAACCAAGTAGAGACTTAATACTGAATGTAGTTAATTGTAATGAGAATTTTTAAATTGTTAGTAATATGTTCTTGTGAATCTATGTTTGATAAATGATGGCAATTCAAGAATTGGTCAAATTGAATAGAGAAAAAAAAAATCTGATATTTATATCTCACTGTATGAATTCTTAATTTCAATTAACTTATCACATTCCAACTGCCAATCAATTTTCCATACATCATTAACTCCATAGCCTACTGTATCAAGCTCATTGGTGGATACACTGAGCCTGGTAAAATTGATTCTACGAATGCAGATTCTAATACAACAGTTTAGTCTCTTGGATACACATAGTCCATGAATCTTCACCTGAAAAGGGGTACATGACTACCTTTTTAAGCAACATAATGTTTGAAGCTTCCAATTGAGAAAATAATGATATTGGATTGAAGACTAGCACCTAGCCGACCCCATATAGTTGGGATAAGACTGGAATGATGATGATGATGCTTGAAGACAAGCACCTTTTTATAGTGACTTCTCAACTACCAAAATGGAACTTCCATTTCTTTTTTTTTTTCTATGTTTTTCTTTTGATAGTAAACTTATGGCTATCAGAATGCACATCCCTCCAGGGTTTTATCCAACATGGCACCTTGTAAGAACTAGTTAGTATTGCAAATTAAGATGCACAGAAACAATTCACACTAAAGTTAACATTTAAGTTGTATCAAAAATAGAGAAATTTCAGCGTTGTTCAGCAACATCTGGTGATGACAACTTCTGTACCATCACTGCATTTGGAGTGTCTCTTATAACAGTTGGAGCTGGAGCTGATTCTGGTCCATCCACAAATGGTTTGATAACTGTAATGAAGAATACATTGTAAAAAATGGTGAAGATGAGAAGAGCAAAAGCTGAATATGCAAGATAAGAACCAGAGAACTCTGGCATTTCTTCCCTCATTAGATCTCTTGCTTGGCGGGGATCTGAAACTGCAATTAATTTGAAAGAATATTAGAAGTTTAAACACATTCATCCCTATAAATTCAATTATGAAGAATAACCAATTCATGCCTAAATCTTGTGTTCTTCTCATACAATATGGTTTAACTTTAAGCTTGAAGTTTTTTTTTTGGGTATTTTGGTGATACACCCAAATCCCCCATAGGGACCGTTTGAATGGTGCAGTAAAACACTAATACACCCCCCCCCAAAGTCGATGGTTGTGGGAATTGGAATTGGATCTGCATCTCTGCTGGAACAGACCAGCCAACTGATCCATCTCTCAGTTGGCACTTTAAGCTTGAAGTTAAACCAAATATTTAAACATTCCCAGTAAGTAGATATCTTCAGAATTAAGAAAAGATATCTGCATAGGATACACATAAATTTGTTGACATGACCTGACAGGATAGACAACCCCCCAGTTGTCCAACCAATTTGGCCCATAATTGAATAGTCTGAGTTGACATAGTTGGTGGTCTAGTGTAAAAAGTGGGTCTTCAGGACCCACTGCAGGAGTACCCAAACTTGAAACATTTCAATAACTGAAGTTTCAAACCAGGAGAGGAGATTGACCCAGTCAATGGAGAAAGTCAGTACCAAACTCCAAACCAAGACTGGTGGATTGCAACTCGGTCAACTCAATGTCATGAACTGGTCTGAAAGTTAGAATAAAAATAAAAATAGTACTCATTCATGTTCCATTAAAAATATTAATCTATCAGAGTCCACCAGTTATACCAGCCCATTTTAACAGGTCTTTGCATGTCTGGATCTGGCACCAGGGCAACCAGTAAAGGACTCAAGCCCCAGGTTAACTATCCCAACCACTGTTTTGGTTGGTATCAAAATTGTGTTAGAACCGACTTAGTAATAGACATTAGCTCAAGCTAGGAAAACATAAATTTGTAACATACAAGCTGTATGTTAACATAAATAGAGATAAGAATGTAACCACTTATAAATTAAATTCCTCCAGAGGTCCAGCTTTACATAAGAGGACACTACTTGAGGGAATATGTAAACAAAGCATTGGAATACACATCACTATTTTTCAGTATCTGTGATAATCATACTACCACTCTTAGTAATGGATCACAGGCATAGGTGTATGATGTCAAAGATCAAATCCAATTTTGTTAGTGAAATTACAAGTAACTTATTTTAATTAACACAGATTTGAAAGCCATTTCAAATTTGTTTATCCATTGGAAGAATTACTTTTAACTTTTTGATGGTTAAAGCACTAGAATTAAGGGATCCAAATAGGAGATCTAATAAGGAAATGGTCAAAATCTATTCTAACCAACAGAAATATTTAACTATATAAATCTCTCCAGGGAGGTCAAGTAACTATTGTTAGGCTTGGTTACAATAGAGTACAAATAAAAAATTGAACTAAGATGAATACCGAGACTTGAATTTCTTGCAAAAGAAACTGTGCAGAAGTAATTGGATGTCCATGCTTGGTTCAGGCTAAGGAGTTCAAATCTCCGCCCCACAAGGGGCCGCCCCACAACACCCCATAGCACATCTCCGCCGTGTATTGGAAACATCTCCCAATGATAGTACCAGAACCGATGATGTCATCATCAGGAAATGTTCCCAATACACGGCAGGGATGTGCTGTGGGGCATTGTGGGGCGGAAATGTGAACTCAAGGCTAAGTTGTCTCATGCCTCCTAAGATTTATTTGGTAATCCTGCTCAAAAGCAACAGCCTGACCACCAATTGCACCTATACATAGAATCTTTGTAGAAAACAGATTAGTGAATTCATATTGCCAAGACACTGATTTCCCTGAATCTTCTTGATCTTAAAGATACTAGCTAAAATTATATCATCATGAACCATATCAATTTTGTAAACCCACCATTATTTTTTTTATCAGTGTAAACCCACCATTATTATTACTGTGTAGTCAATTCTCACTATCAAAGACTACACTCAATACTCAGACAAGCTTACCTTGCTAAACTTAAAGCCAATTGTTAAAGCAAAACCAATGTTCATAAAGACAGACTCATACTTTCATATGTTTTTTCCTTGCCCTCCTAGATGATTCGGATTCAATTTTTGAAACTATGGAACATCTACAAGGTATCTAAACTGAACCATTTCATGTTAAACATGTATTTTTTTGGTTGTTTTATCAGTTTTTTACCTAGGTTTGTATGATCTTCAAACTCCCATTAATATCTTTTCATGTCTTTTATAACTCTGGCTCGTAGAATTTGACTTAGAGCAGTAGTCCACTGCAGCCAATCCCTCATATACCATCTCAAGTGGTTACACCATAATTGGACTTCCCCAAATAGGGGTTCTTTCACATGGCTGATATCTACTTCCACAGGCTCTCTAATGAGAGCAACCCTTCAGAGATTTTTTCTATTCTATGTACTAGTCAGAGTAATGGTTTGACTTACTACTCTGGTTGTACAGTGCAAGATGGGCTGATAGGATTATAAACAGGGAGACCATTTCAGTGTTCCTTTTCTTGGTATTTTGCAAGCTATAACTGTAAACCACTCTGCTACATCTAATATGCCAGATATATGGAGTACATGATAGATGTCTTGGAAACTATGAGGAAAAAACACCTTCATAAACATATAATTCTCAAAGGAGGATGGCATGGCTTGGCTAGGCTTTTGGAGTATGGACTTGATCCTTTTTTTTTGGGTAATCCTAATAGCTTCACCAGTATAGAGCATTAGTCTTCTTTGTCATCCATTTGTGATAGTTCCTATCTGCAACCCATCTCCTAAATAGATCATGTTCAGACTACATACTCTGTTACAGACCCAAATAGGGACGTAACATAAATTCCATCTGCTTCAAGGGAGAAGAACACCTCCAAAGAGATAACTCTCAATTAACAAAAGATAATTCTCATAATGATTTAATTAAGAGGAAAATTACAACTTAAATAGACTCTTGAATAATAACTGACTCCTAAAAACATGTTATCCCTTATAATCCACTATCCTACTCAATGCAATCACTCTCTACCTAACTACCAACATTGACCCCACAAGACCCAACGTGAGCACAATACATGGATTCACAGGACTCTAACCCACTCAATTAGATACTTGTGCCTAAAGATTTTCAACTAACAACCTTTTTATTCTCCCTCTAATTCCTAGATAGGTGGGCCCACTAATGGATATGTGACATACTCCTAATCACCATGAATTTCAACAGTAAGGCTATGGCATAAGATGGTCTTATTAAGCAAAGCACAACCCATATAATTTAGAATGGTGACCTTGACAAGGTATATATAAACTAGGTAGTTTGGGATTAAACAATGTTCTTTTGAGATAATATTAGATAGAYAGATAATTCTAACCCCAAAGTTTTCAACTCCACCTAGACCTGTTCATGGGCTGGGCCGAGCCGGGCTTGGGCCGTGCTTTTACTTTTCATTAATGGAAATATGTTAGGCCCGAGCCCGAGCCCAATCCGACCAATGGGCCTACAACTTGGGCCCGAGCCCGACCCTGATAAAAAGCCCGAAGCCCGACCTAATAAAAAAACTAGAATTTTTCTGTTATGGACGCATTCCTCGGAAAGACGTACCATCGCCGCCGGCAGCAATAGGAACCTGACCCACCGCCAGATTAGATTATATCATCTTGCTTGTTCTTATCTTATTCTATTGCTCTTATCTTRTYTTGTTAGTAAGTTATYAGATTAGGATTAGTTTATCTTATTATCAGATTAGGATTAGTTTATCTTGTTATCAGATTAGGATTAGTTTATCTTGTTATCAGATTAGGATTAGCTTATCTTATCC